CCCCAAAACCCCAAAACCCCAAAACCCCAAAACCCCAAAACCCCAGATATATTATTTTCAATTGAAAATAAATAATAGAGTAATAATGAACATTTTTCAGGAAGGAGGCGGTCTTAGTAAGGATAAACCCTTAGGCAAGATTCAGCTGAACCCTCAGAAAATTCGGAAATTGAAACCAATCGATAAGAACAAAATCAAGTAAGGATTGACATAAACTTTATTGGATTATTTTGAATTATGTACAAAGCCTCTATTTCATCTTTCCTAATGGTTCTTAGACTTGGATATAGGAAGAGAAATGTATTCTCCAAACAAAAAACGAAAGATGAGATTTTTGGGTGAAGGAAAAGCTCCAATAAATTTCAAAGGGTGCCGAGAAACAAGGCATTTTCTCAAAGTCCTCGACCGTTACCACTAGGTGTTGACTCTACAGATTGCCAGAGCCCGATGAACCCAGGCTATGTCTCTAATCTGAGTGACTGAAGAGGCTCGGATGTATCTAAAAAATTCTGTGAAAGTCCTGTACTTCGCCAGCAAATGAATGTCATGGGTGAGAATTACAAAAAGGATCAAACCACTGAAGACATTGAAAGAATCGAAACTCTCACATATATCCTGAACAATAAATAAAATGATTGATGAAGCAAAGGTGATGAACCAGAGCGACTTAATAAATTTCTTAAACCATACGCATCAAATGATTCGTACTTTTAAAGAGTAAGTTCAGTAACTTTATGGGTTTACCGGCCAAAGATAAACTAATGTGAGCTGGTCGTGAATTATTCCAAATTATTATAGAGTCACCATATTTTATAGGCATCCTGGTATTGGCTATATGGGAAATGCGACTGTAACCCAAGGACAGATGGACAAATAAAATCATTAACCTGAAGAAAATAAACACTCCATCTCCAGTCAAGTAAGCCGATTACTTACTGACATTAGACTACAAAAAGTGAAAGGTAAAAGGAAGGAAAATGAACTGAAAAAATTGATAAAAATGGAAGAAATTAAACCGATGAAAAGGGTAAAAAGCCCAGATGTGCTCATCAGGAAGAAGAAGGCTCCGAAGAGAAATCTATCAAATATGGTAACACTTAATGCTACCCACAACAATTCTCGCATGAAGGCAACTCCGAACGCTGTGAAGCAGAAAAGATCAAGGATGAAGAATAAAAGCGGTTTTGACATCTTCAATGAATTCTCGATTAAGAAGAAGTCGAAGGTACAGAAATTGGACAAAATGATGAAGAAAGTAAATTACAAATACAATGATAATTTTTAGCTCACAGTAAAATTCAAATCAAAAATGACTTTTGATGATAAAGTTATAGCAGGGTAAGCTTTCTAAATGTTATAGCAGACTGCAATCTAAAATTAAGAACTTGACTAAGAAAGCAGAGGGACACAATTTAGCTCCAAAGTTGAGACTTGATACTATCAAAAGGACCAGCCAGAGACCTCATAATAAAAAGTTTGCCCTTTACTGTAACCTAATAGACTAATGAAGATTAGTCCAAGTAAGTTGAGTAAGAGAAAGTCTCCAGGTATTTTAGATAACAAATTTTAGATTCAACGAAAAATAACAAAATTCTGAATAAAAAATTTTCAGCAAGAAAATTATCTGAGAAAGATACAGGGTGTAAAATGTTTCAGTCTCTGAATCAGTCTAACGATGAATCAGCCATTTCAAAGGAGTCAAATGAGAAGTCTAAAAATTCTCCTGAATTTGGGACAAGTCAAGATTCGTCTAGAAAGAACATTAAGAAGTTTAAACAGAGATCTTCAACATTGAAGACGAATCAGTTTGAGAAGTTTCAAATAAAGATAGTAATTTTCCAAAAATTTAATTCTAGAGCAAACCTGATGAGGAGACTTCTATCTCTAAGTTCAAGCCTCGGAGGAGTAAGACGAAGATTACACTCTCACCCTCAGCTATGAAGTCAAGGAGTGTACCTAAGAAGTCTAATTCATCTGCTAATGTCCGTTCTGTAAGTCTAATTCTTGCTGGCTAAAGGACCTTTCTGTTCATGTTTCCTAATATTTCCCGTCTAGAACTCAGCGAAGGGAAATACTTTGGGAGTGGTGAAAAATATGAAGGTAAAGCTAGGCAAGGAGTGAGGGTCTTAATAGTTGATTTAGAAGAAGATCAAGAAGAAAGGTAGTTTTAGACCAAATATGAATGGTCAAGAAGAGATTAAGGTGATGAAGAAGTTCAAGCATAGCTTGACTCATACTTTTATTGACCTGGAGTGTTTTGATATTGAAGAGATAGAAGAAGAGTCATCCTCTTCTTCCCAAACCTCTATGAGTTCGGTTTCCCAACAGAACACAACTAGAGGACCTGCCATGAATACATTGGTGAAGGAACATAGCGCTCCAGTGAGATTGAGATAATAGAAGGACCCATTTTTCAAGTAATTTTGTACTTCAATATTATATATACTTGAGGGGTTTTGGGGTTTTGGGGTTTTGGGGTTTTGGG